CCGTATATGAGCTGTGCGGGCAGCGTGCGGGCCGGCGGCGGTCAGCGCACGAGCCGCGCAGGCTCAGCGCGGGCTGCGCGGGCTGCTCGCGGGCTGCGTAAGCGGGTCGCGGGCGGCTCGCGGGGGTTCGCGGGCAGGTCGCGGGCTGCTCGCGGGCAGTGCGTGGGCGGTTCGCGAGATGTGAGCGCGGCGCGCTGTGCGGTTCGCGGGCGGCGTGACGGGGCCGATCGGGGCGCTAAGGGGCGACGCGACGGGGGCCGTGAGAGGCCGCTAGGAAAAAAAAGTTCGACGGGGCCGCAGGGCCGCTAGATCGTGCTAGATCGACGGGGCCAGCGGGGCCGGAAACAAGCGAAGGTAAGCAGGTAGGTAAGTCGGTGGGCCCTAAGAACAGTCCTAGCGAAGGACCTGCTCTGAAACCATGTCAGAAATAACTGAGCAGGAATGGTGTGACTAACAGGAACAACAGTACAAATATGAAACCCTAACCTGGTATACCCCCTAAGGTATCACCCACTACAGCCTAGAACAATATAAACATATAATGTTTGACAGACCGCTGTCAGCTTGAAGAGAAGTGGCGTCCTGACAAGGACAAGATGTTACGGTCATGGGAAGCAGCGGAGCTGTCAGCGGACTGGACGGAAGAGGAGGTGAAGAGTGCGTTCAGCGCGATGGTGGCGAACAAGTCTCCGGGCAAAGACGGGCTGCCGAAGGAGCTCTTCGAAGCTCACTGGGACCTGCTGGGAAAAGGGTTCATGGCTCTCACCAAAGACTTCGCAAGAACGGCGATGCTCTCGATGGAGGTGAAAGAAGCGGTGACGATCCTGCTGTCAGAGGTCCACTGGAGATCCCCGATGATCCTAGGGAAGGGTTACAGGCATGTTGGCCTGGGGGGTTATGGGCGCACTCACCCGCTACACAAACAAGCCCTTTTATCCCAGTGGTTAGTGACTGGGATTCTGACATGGTATCAGAGCGAAGGTCTCGGGTTCGAATCCCGGTGTGTGCACCTCGGGCATCCCAGTGCGGGGGGGTGTCAGAGGTCCACTGGAGATCCCCGATGATCCTAGGGAAGGGTTACAGGCATGTTGGCCTGGGGGGTTATGGGCGCACTCACCCGCTACACAAACAAGCCCTTTTATCCCAGTGGTTAGTGACTGGGATTCTGACACCTGCTGCACAAAAAGGGCGACAAGGATCAGCTCAACAATTATCGCCCGATTACTTTACTAAATTTTACATACAAGGTGTTGGCGCGGGTTATGGCTGACAGGATGAAAAAGTACCTGGGGAGGGTGATATCGTCGGAGCAGTATGGTTTTCTCCCGGGAAGGCGGCTGACGGATGCTGTAGGGCTTGTTGCTGACATCATCGACTCCGCACGGAATGACAACGAGGACTGGTTCCTTTTGTTGGTGGATTTCAAGAAAGCATTTGACTCTGTCTCGCGCGGCTACCTCTTCCGGACGATGCGGGCGATGGGCTTTCCGGATCGGTTCGTAGGATGGGCGGAGGGCCTGCATGAAGGGACGCAGACGAGGTTGTTAGTTAACGGTTGGATGGGTGATGGCGTGGAAGTGATTTCTGGAGTCCGCCAGGGATGTCCTCTTGCGCCTTACCTCTTCTTGTGTGCGGTCGAGCCGCTGGCGCAAACGGTTCTCAAGAAGAAGTTGGGCATCGGTAAAGCAAGTGAGCGGCTGGCGTACATTGGGTACGCAGATGACACAACCCTGGTCCTGGAGGGGAAAAAGCAGCTCATCAAGGCAGAACAGGTGTTGGCGAAGTTCGAACTGACCTCCGGGCTGGCGACAAACCGGGACAAGTCGGTGGTCCTGCCGCTGGGGAACAATCTTGGCAGGACAACGGGCCGTACGCATAGCTTCAGATGGGCGAAGGCGGATGAGGCTGAGAAGCTGTTGGGCGTGTGGATCACGCCTTCGGGAAGCTGCCTGCCAACATGGGAGAAAACCTCGGAGGACGTATCGGGGAAGGTTAAGAAATGGGAGCAGAAGTACTTGCCGACAACGGCGCGTACGACGGTTGTCAACAGTTACATGATGCCGAAGGCGGCTTTCCAGGCGCAGGTTTACCCGCCGCCGGCGAAGCAATGGGGGACTATATCTAAAACCTTCGAAAGTTTCGTCTCTGGCAACAAAGCAACAGCCGACAGGGTCTTCCGCCTCTGGAGCAAGGACCTGCTATACACTCCAAGGAAACTGGGGGGGGTGGGAGTGCACGACCCGGAGATGATCTTGGCTTGCCTCACGGCCAGGAGGGTGGGACTGTTAGCACTGGAGACCAGTCAGCTGAAAAAACACATTATGATGCGGGCGGCGGCTCTCCCGATGGGCATTGAGACCTTCTTCGCCCACGAGAAGCTGCTGAAACATTGGGATGCGAAAAGTACTCGCTGGAAGGTCGCGTGTGAGAATTTCATGAAGACGCCGCTGGGAATTCTCCCTGAGGCGGCTACGAGGGAAGCGGTGGAAGGGGAGAGAATTGTTTTCAACAAGCGGCTTTTGCTCGACGGAACCACGCCGGTGGGAGGCCAGCGAGACGCGAAGCAGTTATGGGAGAAGCGCCTTGGCGATTTAATCAAGCTTGGGAGCAGCGGAGTCCCTGAGCTTAAGGATGCTACTACCCTGGAGAGAGAGCTTGGCGGGAAGGGTGCAGCTAAGCTAGCTAGGAGGGCGTTTGAAGCTGCGCCACACAAGTGGAAAGAACTGTTGCTCAGCACTCCCTCCCAACCCCCCAACTCAGCGGGGATCAGGAAGGTTTTCCATTCTGCAGGGCGCAGGCTCACGGACTTCCCCATCTTCGAGAACGGGGGTATTGCGCCCCTGAAGCGGTTGAAGCTGTTATGGAAGGAGGGGCAGAAACCATCAGCTAAGCAGCAACTGTGGAAGGGCAGGTGGAACGGGCAGATCAATTGGAAAAGGACCATTGCCATCCGTGACTCTCTGGTCACACCGAGCAGGCCGAGGGACGTTCTACTGCGGATCCATAATCTAAACTTGCAAGTGGGGGAGCGGGTGGCTTTTTTGAGCAGTAAACCGGTCTGCCCGTACTGCGGAGGAGAAGAAACCCTTGAGCACTGTTTGTACAGTTGCCCCAAGATTCAAGCGGTGACGTCTGCTCTGGTAAAGTCCCTGCGCATGCTGAACAGCGCGCGTACTGTGTCATCATTGGAGGACCTGCTGTTCCGGAAGGCGGGGACCGGCACGGCCTTTCCAGAAGCTACGCTTACAGCTATTACGCTTCACCAACTGTGGGCGGAGCGGTGTGACGCTGTGTTCCGGGGGAAGAAATTCCGGACGAGGAAGGTGCTCCGTCGTGTTGAAGCAGCTTTTCGCCTGCATGCGCGGATCTACACGAGATCAAGGGATGCCGAGTGGAAGAAGCGACAGGGTACGCAACATCAGGGGAAATTTCGCCGGGCTTTGGAGAGCGAGAACAAGCTACTGTTTCGGATCAGTGACAAAAGTTGCAAGTCATGGACGTGGACGAAAGCTTTTTCGAATATCTGGCTAGCACCGAGGATGACACGCCAACCTCCTTAGATGCCACACCTGGGGCGGCCACGTGGATTACCCCTCATGCGCAGTTACGACTGTTATTGTTTATGTATGCTTGTTCTATCGGTGTACATAGCAATTACCATAAAAAAAAAAAAAGGAGAGGGGACATTTTCAGGGCAGAGATGGGAGGGGCTAGCGCACGGGCTCTGGTTGGAAAAAATTCGTAGAGTATGGGTTGGGTATTCCCTCCTAGCCTAGCTCTTGGCCGAACTCCATCCTGGGGCTTGGAGGGCTGGGCTAGAGCTAGGCTAAACTCTACACGTAGGGGAAGGGGCTGGGAGCTTTCGGGGGGGCTGAACTTGGAGGATTAACGTCGCGTTCGACAGGCTAACCTGCGTTAAAGCCCAAACAAAGCAGATTGCGGGCTGACCGGTGAAAAAAAAACCCAAGTCGAAACAGCCGCGATGGTTCTGCGGAAGGGTTTGCGTGCCTGTCGAGCAGGACCGGAGTGCTATTTCAAGTCCATGCTCACATCACATGCTCACCTGGCTTTTGGTGCTCCCTAAAGCCGTGCTTGGTCGGAAGGAAAAGTCACCAGATACCAGTGGAGCGAAATAAACCACAGGATGATGGGGCCGCAGAAAGGAACGGGTAAGATTTCTCAGGCACAAATGAGCGAATGAGGGATGAGCTGCAGCCACACGAGTCTTTGCACGAGAGCTTGGATCTTTGCGGCGCAATTGCTGCCCCATAGAGGCAGGGTAGGCGAGGGGAGGCGAGACGAAAGGGTGGACGCGCGCAGAACTCCTGCTTCCGTGCGTGTCATTACGGGCAGCTGGCATCGAAGTCTTGAAGTGTACAGAATGTCAAGTTCCCATGGACAAAGCGAGGTGATCCCCCTTGTCATGAATATGTTCAGTAAACATCGAAAATTTCCCCGATAGGCCGCATTATCACTTCGGTTCCTGCCCGGAGCATTCTGCACCATTGATTCTTTCTGGGAAATAATCGGATGTCTCGATTGCTCGATGCACACCTGACGCTGCTGCAGCAGATGAGCACCACCCGACCACCTGACCCAAAGGAACTTCACCTGATCCATCCAGCTCGTTGTCACATCAGTCGTGTCATCCCCCGCCCCCTTCTCTTCGAAGACCGAAGGACGGGTGTGATGAAGGTAGGAACGGCTGCGCTGCCACAGCACTCCCTTCTGCCCACCAGTGCGACGAAAAGATGTCCTTGCCTTCTCTGCTTTCAGATTCAAGTCTGGATTGAGTGGTTTCAGTTATGAGCTATTTGCTTGAGCTTATCCTCTCTCCACGTGAGTCTGTAAAATAATCAGTCTCACCGGACGAGATGAACGCCTCTGTGGTTACAACCACCGCGCCGCCTGGCCCGGACTGCGCGTCGCGCTGCGTCTCTTTCGTCGCGGAAACCACTGCCATTTCGCCGCTCACCTTCGCCACGGCTGTCTCAGCGTGCATGGTCCTCGTCTTCGTAATCTCTTTTGCCGTCTACCTCTACCGCCGCCCCGACTGCCTGTTTCTAGGCCCGGACGAGGAGAACCCGGGCACGAGCGATTCTCAACGACGTGTCGTCGCGAGACTCAACGCAGATTTCGCGAAACCCGGCCTCGATCCGTCCTTGATTCAAACTCTGCCAGTGATTATATTCCGTCCCGATAACGACACGCGGAAATCGAATCTTGCAACAACCGTCGGCGCCGCGGCGGCATATCCGCAGCCAGGAGGGGGTTCCAGCGGAGTCGCAGCTTCCGCGCTTCTTCCCTACGATCGTGACACTAACGAGAGCATCCTGAGCCTGCGCGAGTGCGCGGTGTGCCTGGGCGAGTACGCGGCGGGCGAGCGCATCAAGGTGGTGCCGGCGTGCGCACACGGCTTCCACGCCGACTGCATCGACCTCTGGCTCGCCGCCAAAACCACCTGCCCCATCTGCCGCCGAGACCTCCGCAGCCCCGCCACAGCCCCCGCGCAAGAAAGCGCCTTGGGGCCGGAAACCGGCGTGCGCGTTGAGATTTCAGTTGGCGGAGAGGGAGCGCAATCAGCAAGAAGAGCAAGGGGAGTAGCGGGAGCGGAGGCAGCGGCTGAGCAGCAAAGACTGGAATTCGCGGCGGCAACAGAAGCAACTCAGCAAGCTGACGCGGTGATTGTGCGGATAGAGGCTGATCCACGTGACGATGCGGTGATGAGCGTGCCCATAGCGGCTGGAGCGTAAGACGCTGATAGGAATGCGGGTCTGAGAAGCAGCATTGCTGTGCGGTAAGGGAAGTAGCTGAAACGGGTCGCGGTTTTTTTTTTCTTCTTCTTCTTTTTTTTTGGTCAGTGAGGGCTGTTGGTTAATGGCGATGCGGTGCCACCGTCCAGCCGCAGGAATTGGATTCGTGAGCGCGGAATTAGGGAAACAGAAAAGTTGCGGATTTTTTTTTTTCTTCCAGGCTGTTGCCTAGCGGCGTTGGAGTGCATTTTCCGCGCGGATGAGACGGAGAAGTGAGCGCGAGGATCCCGTTAATTCCACGATGCTGTAGCTAAGTTATTCTTCCAGAGCATATATAGGAGAAAGCAGTTTGCAGGAGGTCGCAGCCACGTTGTTACAACGTCCACGTGGTTAGCAGAAGCCATTGGAGCATTGACGTCGTGAATGCATCGTTAGCGAATACGGTCGAAAGCAGGAATCAGCAGCACCTTCCACTGGCCTTGTCGAGTTAGTCCCGAGTCTTTGCGAGTCACTTGACGATTCGGAAAGGTTGCGCGTCGCGATGTTTTTTTTCCACGTGAAGGCACGTGGCTTTACACGTTACCGAGTTGATGCGTACTCCCGACAGCGCACGTGTCAGAAACCGCTACGCGACGGAGGAAAGGTAGTCCGAGTCCTGGTACATGGAGATTTGGCGCCGTCATTTGCGGCGTCGGGTCAAAGGTTAGGGAGGACTTCCCAATTCCAAATACCGCAGTTTATTTCCGCTTGACGAGAATGCGTGCGGAAGTGGGCGGAAGGGTTTGCTTTGGGGAACGGAGCGGCCGCTTCTAGGGAGTTCAGAAAATTGCGCGGAAGGGGGAAATAATAGGGGAACTGGGGGGGGGGGAAGGGCGGGAGAGATCTTAGGGTGATCGGAGTATGCGCTGCAGTGAGAAGGAAGTTTAGGGGCATCTGCGGACTCGATGGGCGGAGTTCATGCGGATGATCTGGACAAAAAGGGGATGGGAAAGGGAGGCGGAGGGGGGTGGAGGAAGGAGGGGGAAAAGAGGAGGGAAAAGGATGCGGAGGCTGGGGGAAGGGGGGAGGACGGAAGGATGCCAAGCAGGGAAACTCACTTTACCCCGCCCCATTCGCGGTAAGGGCGAGTTATACGGACGGTCTGGAACGAGTCTAGATCTTGCTTGCTGGCAGGAGTAAAGCTCATTGGGCGAGGCTGGTTCCTGAATTTGAGGGGCTCACCAGAGGAATTTCGGGGGGATTGGTACAGATGGAGGGCGATCTTCAGGAACTGCCTCACAGCGAAGGGGACTCATGATTCTATTTGTGGGACTGAGGAGCAGGCGACGAAGGTGATTGGAATTCGGAGGGAACGGATAACTTCGCAGGCGATTACAGTTTCACTACTTTTTCAATACAGGTCCCCCTCTTTCACTGCCTCATCCATCCTTCACAATTTTCAGATACCGGTAGTGACCTTTCCATCCACCATCACTCTCTATCCACATTAAAGGTATTGGGATGCCCATTCAAAGCCCAAGGCCCCAGCCCCAAACCTCCAACCCAAGCCCACAACGCCAGCTCCCAAACCCAGCTCCCACCAGCTAACCCATCCAATAAAACCGCCACCATTCAGTACCTGAGATCCAGCCATGTGCCCTGATTTGTCCACCCAATTAGTTCCATCGATCTTTGACAACATTCAGCAGGCCTGTAATCGCCATCTTTTCTTCTGGAAATGGGGCATGGGCCGCATGGCATTGCCCAGTGGGATTGGGGCAGGTGAAAGAGTTAGGATGTAGGAAATGACATGGCATGGCACCCTGAGGCGAGCAGAACACATAAAATACGGTGGGGACATATATCAGAGTTGATTTAGGCATTGTGGCATTTGTTTCATCTCTTTGTCAGTGTAAAGCTGCCAATGACATGCGTTCTTGTACTCATTATTTTATCACAACAGTGCATCCGGCTTCTCTGAGTATACAGGCCAACTACATGAACATGCAAACCTGCTGCAGCAACTACCAGTACTGCTTCTGCGCGGGTAACTGTTTCTGCTCTTTTTTAGTGATCACTGCTTTCGAAGGAAGCGAAGATTGCAGCACACCTTGCCTGCTGGTGGGCTGCTGTCGCTGCAGCTCCTGATGCTATCAGTATAACTGCTTCTGGGTTCACTCTGCTCTTCCCTAATGGTGACTGGATGCGCTGCTGCATTCTTAGGAAGGTTCTGGAGAGCTCTGCAGGTTCTTGCCTGCGGGTCGGCTTTTGCAACTGCTTCTGCTCTACCTCCTGTGACTCCTGCTCCTTGTGGTTGATATACAGACGGCAGGAGCTGCTGCACGCCATGCTTTCTGCTCTTTCCTGAAGGTGACTGGACTCAGGCGCTGCATTCTAAGGAAGTGCGGCCAGAGCTGCGCACACACGTGCTCTTTGTGGCTCTGCCGATGATTCTCTGGTTACTGCCCAAGGCCTTCCCTGATGGTGACTGCACTGCAGGCGCTGCTGCATTCTAAGGTAGTAGGGAGAGAGAGACATGCTGCACGCCCTGGCTGCGTGTCGGCTGCTGTCGCTGTATCTGGTGTTAATGCTGTTGCTGCTTGCGGTCCTTGCTAGTGGCGACTGTACTGTAGATGCCACTGAAGTCTAAGGAAGTATGGTGAGAGCTTCTGCACACTGTGACTGCAGCCCTGGTGCTGCTACTGCTTCTGCACATTCCTTCTACTGGTGACTGGCCTGCAGGCGCCGCTGCATTTGGAAGAAGTAGGGAGCGAGCTGCTGGACGCCCAGGCTGCACGCCCAGGCAGCACGCCCAGGCTGCACGCCCAGGCTGCACGCCCTGGCTGCACGCCCTGGCTGCACGCCCTGGCTAAAGGTCAGTGCTGCTTCTGCTCTTTTCTCTAACGGTGACTGGACTGTAAGCGCCGCTGCATTCGGAGGAAATACGGCGAGAGCTGCTGCACGCCCTGGCTGCCGGTTGGCTGCTGCTGCTGCTGCTGCAGCTCCTGTCGACGCCTGCATTGCACACGGATATGAAATGAAGGGCGTTGCTCACTCATCCCACAACAACCCTGCCTAAAATAAGAAAATATTGATAACAATAGCACTAATAAATAATAATAATCAAACAGAACAAAAAACACATACCTTGCTCTGAGTCGTCGTAACCGTCTGCGAGCCAAATTCCACCTCCCCTGCCTTTGGCCTCCTTGCTGGTCCTGCTGCTGCCCGTGCTGCTGACCGTGCTGCTGCCCCCTGCCGCTCACAGTGGACCAATCAGGGAGCAGCACCCATTCCGGTACCCCTCGGCTAGCCGCCTCCTGCCTGAGCCGCTCGTCCAACCCCTCGCTCCATGTGACAGTAGCGAGGGTGCTTGTAGACGCATCATCTCTTATAGACGCATTTCCTGTAGATGCAGGTTCATGTTCTGTTAACGGGGGTAGCGGTTGAAACACACCCCATTGCTGTGTAGGCGCTGCAGCAGTATCCTTTCCAAGGGGGAGATTTCCCCTCCCGTTATAGTCACGGCCATGAGCGGCAGCAGGGAGGAACCAGCCGCGGAACGCGCGCTTGCAGAGGGGGCAAGGGGGGAGGGAGGAGGCGCAGCTAGCGCGGCTGGCGGAACTGGCGCGATCTGCGCGGCTGGCGCAGCTCCAGCGGCGGATGCACGGCAGGCAGAAGCGGTGCATGCACGGCGACAGGGCGACGATCGGCGAAAGGGTTACCACTGGCGAAGCGGCGGAGGAGGGAGAGCTGTCGGAGGCGGGGAGGGGGGAATTTGCTGCTTCCGCCGAACCGGATTCGATTTTCGCTGCTGGCGCCGACCGGTCGCTGGTGCTGGGAGGTTGCATGGGACGCCCAACCCTATCGGCGTTCACGAGGTTCCGCGAGGGTTCGGATCGCGAGTCCGCGAAAGGGGTCAGGCAAATCGGGCACAGGTCACCGGATGGTGGTGGTTCTAACGGGGGGTGTGGATTCGCGGCATGTGATTCTAACGAGGGTTCGACACCAATCACGGCACGGTCGGCGGGATCGGCGCCTGGCCGGATGGGAGAGTAGGAGGACGCCATGGTGCGATTACTGTTCAGATAGCCGCCATAGTGTTTCCTGTCAATACCCGCTATTGTTCTGTGTCATGCTCAGAACCCACGGATGTGCTATTTCACGGAAACAAATTTATTCAATCTCAAAAAACTTCTTTGTACTTAACACTATCTTTAAAGTTGATCTCAGAACTACTGTACAGCAACAACGAAATAATTTCTTACGCGTACACCGAGAGCATAGAACTGCAACAAGCCCACCCACCCGCACCATTCCTGCCTGTTTCTCGTGATGCTCTTTTTCCTGAAATGTAGGAGCTGCTTCACATCGCGCCACGTCGATCAGCAGAGAGTGAACTCCACCATAGCACTTAGCACCATTCTGTTAGACCATCTCTCAGTCGTGGGCGATTACTGTTCGATCTCGACTCACGAGAAACGGTTTGTGAAATGGTTATTTGGCTGAATATACTCGCTATTGAACGCTTCGCGACACCGTTCTCCGGTGTAGTACTGACACACTTTGGGAGCATGATCTCTGACTTCGTAGTCATCTCGTTGCTCTAGTAATAGTCGGTTCTGACGCGCGAGTAGCCAGAGCGCCACGGCAACATGGCCACGACACCGACCCAGGTGACGTGGCAGGAGATGCAGCGCATGCTGACGTGTCTTTTGGAAGCAACCGAGGTGATCCGAGTAGCCAATAGCCGGAGGCAGCAGACCGCTGATCTGCTAGACGAGGCGATCCACGTGTCGTCCGTTCATTGGACCCGTCACGAGGCTCTAGTCGCCGCGCACACGCGGGTCGCCGCCCGGCGCGCTGAGCTGGACAAACTGCGTGCTGACGTGGCGGGTGCCCAGCGTGATGTGGAGGAGAAGCGGGCGGACGTGGAGAGGCGGAGAGCGGAGCTCAAGGATGCGAGAAACTCGTTAAAAGCTGCCTCGACAAGATTAGTGGTATGACATGATTCTGCTTATTTACAAAGGGGCGGACTCGTTTTGATACCCAACCCGACCCCTTCCGTGCTCCCCTCTTTACCCTTTGTAATCCCACCTTCTCCTCTGCCCCCTTTTCTGCTCCTCGCCACTCCTCCCCTTTTAATCCTCTCATCCTCTCTCCCCTTTGTAATCCCGGCCTCTCTCCCCCTTTCCCTCACTCCCTCCCCCTCTTCCCCCCTCTCCCCCCCCCCTTATAATCACATCCACAGGAAGCGGACCGGTTCCTGTCCCAGGAAGGTTCCAAGCAACAGCTGACGGTGAGAAGGCGGCTGGCCACTAGACGACGACGAATGCTGCTCCAATTGGCCGGAAACATCCCCCTCTCCCCTTCCCCCTCCTCTTCCTCACCCTCCTCTTCCTCCTCCCCCTCCTCCCGTCCCTCCTTGTCCTCTTCTGTTTCTCCTCGCCCCTCCTCCTCCTCCTCCTCCTCCTCCTCCTCCTCCTCCTCCTCCTCCTCCTCCTCCTCCTCCTCCTCCTCCTCCTCCTCCTCCTCCTCCTCCTCCTCCTCCTCCTCCTCCGCCTCCTCCTCCTCCGCCCGCCCCTCTTCCGCCTCGTCTCCCACTCCACCAACCGCATTGAGACACGTGGCGAGCGCGGATAGCAGTTGGGGGAGCGGTTGGGGTTTTTGGGGTAAAAGGGGAGGGGGAGGGGACGCGGGAGCGGCAGGGGCAGGGGCGGGGGAGGAAAGACAAAGCGGAAGGGGAGGGGACGGGGGAGGGGCAGGGACAGAGACAGGGGCAGGGGAGAAAGATGGGGGGGCGTGTGTGACCGATACGGGGGAGAGTGAGAAAGATGGGGGGGAGAGTAAGAAGAAAGGGAGGGTATTTAGTGATGGTATGCTGACGGATAGAGGGAGAAGAAGGGGGGAGGCAGAGGGGGAAGGGAGGGAGGTGAAAAGGGAAGGAAGGGAGGCGGGGGAGAGGAAGGAGGAGGAGGAATTGAAGAAGGGAAGCGTAGGGGATGTGACTATAACGAACGGAGAAAAGCCTGTTGGGAATTCCAGAGTGGGTGGCAGCAGGAATGAGGGGGGTGTGGATGGTAGGATAGTGGACGTGACTATATTGGGGCTGCCTCTGATAACAGCACCTCGGCTACAGTCACTTTTTAATGGGGGAGGGGCAGGCATGGACGAGGGGGCGAGGCAACGGCATGACGCTGCGTTGGGTTTAGCAGCTCAGGTAATCCCTTGCTGCCAGTGGTGTGGTGGTGACGTGACGGTATTGTGGACTAGGGAGGGAGCGTTTTGAGGGGGCATGCATGGTTGAGGGCACGAGGCTAAGGCATGACGCTGCCTTGGGATTGACGGCTCAGGTAAAGGCTAGTGGGGTGGTGGTAGTATTGGTGGTTACATAACAGCACCTTGGTTACAGTCACTTTACAGTGGGGGAGGGGCATGCATGGGCGAGGGCAAGGCAAAGGCATGACGCTGCCTTGGGATTCACGGCTCAGGTAAAGGCTCTCTCCCTGCTGCTAGTCGTGGTAACGGTTGTGTGCAGGCTCTTTCTTTGCTCCTAGTCCTCGGCTGATAACAGCACTTCGGTTATAGTCACTGTTCAGTGGGGAAGGGACAGGCATGGACGAGGGTGCAAGACACGCGCGTGACGCTGCCCTGGGGTTGACGGCTCAGGTAAAGACTAGCTCTTTGCTGTTAGTGGGGTGGTGGTAGTAATGTTGGTTACGTAAACAGCACCTCGGTTACAGCCGCTGTTCAGTGGGGGGCCAGGCAGCAGGTATGGACGAGGGTGCGAGGCAACGGCACGACGCTGCTTGACTGCTCAGCTAAAAGCTCTAGACGCTCTTTCCTTGTAGCTAGGGGTTTGATCAACAGTAACGGTGTTGTGAACTAGAGAGGGACCGTTTGGCGGGGGCAGGCATGGACGAGGGTGCAACGCAACAGCATGACGCTTTCCTTGGGGTTGACGGCTCAGGTAAAGGCTCTCTCCCTGCTGCGTTGTCTCCACCCCCCCCTGCGCTACCTGAAGGTGGATCAACACCCTTGTGCCCATTCCCTTGTTTCCCTTCCCCCAAGCCTCTTCTTCCCATCCTCTTTCCCCCAGCTTGTTTCCTTCTGTAGGAACTACTCACATCTTCCTCTGCGGTACCCCATTCTGCTCGCCGGCTCGCGCTGCGTCGCTGCCTCATCGTGGACCGTCATCCCTTCCCCATCCCCTTTCTCCCCCCCCCCCCCCCCCCCCCCCCCCCCCTCTTTCCCCTTTTCCTCCTCTCCTCCACCCCCTCCCCCTCATTCAGCTTGTGCGTTTCTCAGTGCGCTACTTGCATCAGAGAATCGCTACTTGCACCTCCCCCTGCGCTACCCCATTGATTCTCCTTGCCGGCTCGCGCTGCCTCATGGTGGACCGGCACCCCTTCCCTTCCCCTTCCCCTCTCCCCATTCTCTCTCCCCTCTCCTCATATCTGCCTCCCCCTTTCCCATTTCAGCTAGTGCACTTCGCAGCGCGCTACCTCCACCTTCCCCTGCCCCATCCTTCTTGCCGGCTCGTGCTGCCTCATGGTGGACCGCCACCCCCCTGCCAGAGTGAAGGCCCAGCTTGTTCACCTGTTCCCCTTCCCTCTCTCCCCCTCTTTCCCACTTTCCCCTTACTGTCCCAAACCCCACAGCTAGTGTGTTTCTGTGCGCGCTACTTACATCTCCCGCTCCGCTACCCCATTCTCCTCACCGGCTCGCGCTGCCTGATGGTGGATCGGCACCCCCCTGCCCGAGTGGAAGCACAGCTTATTCTTCTGCTCCCCTTCCCCACCCCTCTCCCTCCAGCTTGTTTCCTTCTCAGCGCGCTACTTGCATCTTCCCCTGCGCTACCCCATTCTCCTCGCTGGCTCTCGCTGCCTCATGGTGGACCGGCACCCCCCTGCCCGAGTGGAAGCGCAGCTAATCCACCTGCAGGGGATGGGGGCAGCGGTGGGTGGTGGTATTGGGAGAGGGGTGGCAGCAAGGGGAGCAGGAGGGGGAGGGGGAGGGGGAAGCGGAGGGAGAGTTGGTGCACAGCAGCAGATTGAGCAGCAGCAGCAGCAGCAGCAGCAGCAGCAGCAGCAGCAGCAGCAGCAGCAGCAGCAGCAGCAGCAGCAGCAGCAGCAGCAGCAGCAGCAGAAGCAGCAGCAGCAGCGGCAGCAGCTGCTGTATAGGTCTGCTAGTGACATGAATCTGCTGCCTAGGAAGGGCACCACGGGCAGCACGGGGAGCACGGGCAGCACGGGGAGCACGGGCAGCACGGGGAGCACGGGCAGCACGGGGAGCACGGGCAGTGGCTGGGAGAAAGGGAGCAGTCGTAAGGGAGGCAGCAGACATGCTTCACCTGAAAGAGGAGGAGCTTCTTCTGGGGGTGTACTGAGGGATAGGAGAGGCGTGAATGGGACGAGCTTTTTCGGTGATGGGGGGTGGGAGGCGGTTGTGAGGGGTGCCAGCCTGAGCAGCAGCAGCGGTGGTGGTGTTGGGAATGGTGTAACGGCAGTAGAAACGGCTGGGGGAATGGCAAGGGCGGGGGGTATGGCAGGGGCGGGGGGAGTGGGAGGGGGGATGGGAGGGGGAGGGGAAGGGGGAGTGGAGGTGCAGCTGGCGCTGTACATGGGTCAGTCGCATGAGGCAGGGCGATGTGCATGTGCCATGGTGCTGCTGGGAAATGTAAGTGCTGTGCTGTGCTGCTGGGGAATGTAAGTGCTGTGCTGATTCTTACAAGGGGAAATGTGAGTGACTGTTTGAGTGTGGGAGTTTTTCAGGACGGGAGTATGCCACCCATGGCAATGCAGGGGAACTCCCTGGATGGCAATGCGCTCATTGTGATTTCATTGTGCTGGATGGTTGTTTTTGAGTCGACTCAAAAACAGACTCATCACAGGGCAATGCAGGGAAGCGTAAGCATTGAGCCCAGCATGGCGCTCATTGTGATTTCACTGTGCTGGATGTCTGTGGTGACGATTGAGCCTAGCATGGTATGGTATGGTATGGTATGGTATGGTATGGTATGGTATGGTATGGTATGGTATGGTATGGTATGGTATGGTATGGTATGGTATGGTATGGTATGGTATGGTTGGTCTACTGCGATCAACTCCTTGCTTTCGTGAACCGCCAACCCCACTTGTGTTTTTCTTGACGAATCTGAAACATTGGTACGTAGAATCAGGGTATTTCTCAATCTTCACACCCCCGTTTCTCGTTCCAACACTTTCAACCAACTCCCCATTCCTCCTCCTCCCTCCCTCCTTCACCGTGCCCCTATTGCATAAATTTCATCTTCATGTATCCATCAGGATATTGAGCAGCTGCTGGCTTCAGTGGGGCTTTGTTGGAAAGGTTCCCGTCATCTGCTTCTGTATAATCTGCTCCGCTTCTTTGCTGCAGTAGACGCGGGCCAATGTAGACTTGCATGAATGGTTACGGCACGTAAATAGTTACGGTGTAAAGATTTGAGCCTCTACAAGCTGTTGCAATTAAAACACGAGGTACTGTTTTATATCGAATTCCCTCTATGCTGACTGGCTCAGCATGTCTAGACGCGCTTCGAACCCTCAAATGTCGAGTTGATTTTCAACCGTTCAGTTCCTTCCTTTTGTGATGGAAGTACAGTGCAATCTCCCATCATCCATACCTCCCACGGCGCTCAATTCTCGCAAAATACATTCACCGTGAAATTTCTTCCGCGACTCGCATCGCATCAGCCGACTCCGAACAGCACATTCACGCATTTCCTCACCACGACGAATCGATCTGGGCCGAGCGAAATGCGACTCGTAGGAGAAATCTACGGCAGATGATGTCTACGTGCTTTCAGCCCTCGAGCCCAAGCCCACCCTTGTTGTGGCGGGATGGTTGGACCAGGGCCTATTTTTGCAGGGTGATTTACCCGGCCTACTATTCAAATCCGGCCCACTCGGCAAAAAACGAGCTTCCACGATTGTGACTCGGCCAACTTCAGGGTCCGATTTTCTTTTAGGCTGCTGTGGCCGGATGCCTGAATTCTCCACTCGGCCCTTCTGTGCAAGTTCAAAATTACCCCCACTCATTTTCTTCTGATCTCGCCAAAATAGCGAACCCTGAACAGTCCAAGTCCTTGTCTGCGAGTCACAAAGAATGGGTGAACATCAAATTTGGCTAAGTTCTTGATTGCGAGTCGAGGATTGGATCAGCTTGAGGATTTGGCTAAGTCCTCGAAATGCGACTGCACATACAAAGTTTGTACAAGAAAGAGTTAGCAGAAAATTTACCCGGCCTGTACCCGGATTTTGTAGCGCGCCACTCGGCCCAGCCGAGGGGCACGCGGATTTCACTCTTTTTCGGAAGAGTGGCTTGAAACGAAAAATGAGCCCTGGGTCGGACATCCTATCCATCCCAGTGCCAATTCCATTCGACCACGCATGCCCGGCCAAGCCAAAAAATGCTTGCAAGGGAGATTAGACAAGCAGTCACAAATATGCCCGTTTTATCACGAATATTTATAGGGGTATCACAAACAGTCACAGTACAGTAGATTTCTATCGCGGGTGATCACAGTGCTATCACGGATGGTCACACCTCGCCCCGAAAAGCCATCACGTTTGGTCACCCGATGAAACGACCATAATTTATTTGAAACCACAAAAGGAACTGTAGAGATTTTGGGGAATCCCAATCTTGATTGCTTGTTACCTCGCGCATAATACTAGCCTGACATTTAGGGGACGGAAGAAAAAACTAAACCCCGATAGGATGGTACGTCATTCGGGAGGCATCAACCCTAAACACCATGCGACAAGGTGTTTAGGGTTGATGCATCCCGTTCAGTCCCAACCGAACGGGTTTTAGTTTTTTTTTAGTCTTGTGAACAAACATTACCCTTCGAGTTTCACACGTCTAAAAGTGATATTAGTAGGGTCATTCTGCATCCGTCGAACAGTGGACAATCGAATAGTAACAAGAAATTTCAGATGATTTCAACGAGTTACCGAGAGTTGTCGCGAAACTATTTCGTGACACTACGGACAAAATGGCTTTCCCGAAATAACTTTCCTTGAATCCCTACAGTGACTTGTGTAGTTTCAACTTAGAATGGTCGTTTCAGCAATTGACCAAACATGATCGCTTTTCGGGGCGAGGTGTGACCATCCGTGATAGCACTGTGATCACACGCGATAGTAATCTTCTGTACTATGACTGTTTGTGATACCCCTGTGAATAAACGTGATAAAACGGGCATAAATGTGACTGGCTGTATAATTTCCCATTTTTGCAATGCAATGCAATGCCATGCTGCAGTTCTGCGTCCAAGTGCAGCCCAATGTGTGGCCTGCACAAGAGTCCAGCGGAGCACGCCGTTACCGAACTGCTTCATAACATGCTCGTAGGTTGTGAGTCGTCGCTTCAGCAGCTTCACACAACACACGGACCAAACAGACAAATCCCGAATCATCTGCTACTCCACAGTGGGGCATCGATCAAGCCCACCCTGGGAGCAATCTGCAGCAGATTTTTTTGGCCTAGTTTCCTTCCCAGCCAAGCTTCTGACGTCAACTGCTGTTTCGTGTGAACCAAAACGCTTGGCAACTGCTCTTGCGTGGCGGCTTGTGCAGTAGGCGATATTTACAACCGCAGGATTTTTTTTTGGCCGACTTCGACGATACTTCCCCGCCACTCTTTGTGGTTTTACATTATTTTCTTCCTCTCGCTTCTAAACTGCAGCAAGGTTCACGTAGTCACGACGATGAGGCGCTGTAAACTTTACCGCCACGCTCTTCTTGTCTCACCGAGCTCTGTTTTTTGCGCTTTATTGCCGCCAGTGAAGGATTCCCCCCGCATCTTTGCAGCCAATAGCAGATGTCCCACAGCTGTAGAATTCCCTCGCACGCCATGAGTCTAGGCTGGTGACATCCTTCTGTGATCCATTAGTTAGAGACGACATGATTTGGACGGCGAGAGGGCTTCGAGGCAGTGCTGACTAGAGCTCGCGATAGTGAGGCCGTGCATAACGGGGTGGGATGTGTAGCCACGTGTTGGGGCGAAAATGCTTGATCGGTTGTGAGATTGTTACTATGTGTCCACGTGGCACCGCGCCCGTTCGCGGTTGTCAAGGCGAGCTCCAGGTCATCCTTTGACAGGAAACGGCAATCCAAGTTTTGACGGAATTCCTCCAGATTTTTCGCATGGGACCAGAGAGCACCGCTCTTGTGGCACCAGAGCGACGGTTCGCATTCCTCGACTTTTAATGCGCCGCGCTGCACCCCTCCTTGAGATCTCTGCCGCACCGCTGCATGCAGCAAAAACTTGAACTCGCTTCTGCTAAGTTTCAGAAAGTGACACCCCGCCGTGCAGTTCTAAGTAGCAGAAGGCAGGCTACCTTAGGGGGGGCGGCGTGGAACCACTCTTTCCGAAAGTGGAATGCTGCTCTACATATTGTCGTTACGCGCTGCGCCTCGCAACCGTCATCCGGATGCCAAATTTCTTAATTCTAACACGCGGCCTTCGGCATCCCCAAGGTGACTTCTCGAGTCGACTGAGGGATCCTCACAAAGTATCGCCGCTACTACCCACCATCTTCTCACGATCTACTCGCCCTCTCCGCTGCTTGGGTTGTCAGTAGCGATCACGGCATTCCGCGCGTGCGCTGCTCCTGGCAGTACTGTAACAGCGCACCTGGCTCGCACCGGCCGCGTTGTTCGTCGCGCCTGTGGGAGTTTCGCCGCGGAAGCAAGGCAAGAACCATTCGAAGGGCGGAACAAAGCGACGAAAAAGGAGCAGGGATCGGATGAGGAGCAGCACACGAGGGGGAAACGGAGGAGAGAACCCACTGCGCGAAACAAATTTGGCTGGCAGCTGCGCGAAGTCCTTTCCTTCAAGAAGAAAGCACTCGAATCTGACTCGCTATTTTATTGAGGTCAACCCAGCGCGATTTTTTGCTAGATTTGGATTGCGTCTTCCCTTCGTCCGTACTTCCTGTGGAAGCGTCTCGAGCTGCTAAAACCATCACAAGATTGCCGCCCCATCAGGTGGAGCGTGCTATCAGAATAGAAGGCGAAACTTCAGCAACTTCAGCAACGACTCGTCAACGGTGGAGCTCCAGCAACGATGGATCCCTTCGCGCGTCTCCCCGACGATCTGCTGCTCGCGATCCTCTCGCGCGTGGGCAGCGCGGCGCGTGATGTCACCCGGGCCGCGATGACGTGTCGGCGGTGGAACGAAGTGACGCGGAGCGTGCCTGCGCTGTGCCTGGGACCGAGTGGCGGAGGCGCGTCTGCTAACCAGGCGCCGTTCTTGACGTTTGAGGTAAATGCTCGGACCGCAAGCAGACCATGCCATGGCTGACATGAATTTCTGAATTACATGGCCTGAAAATATCCTTTCCTTTCTTTTCTGCAAGGAAATGCTTGTTTAACTCCCTCCTATCCTTTCCCCCCGTTTCCTTTCCCTATACTCCGTTCTTCTTCTCCCCACACATCAGCGCCAGGCCTCGCGCATGATCCTCCGCACGCGCGCCCTGCGCCACCTCACCATCATCTCGCCTCCCGCACCACCTGCTAACAACGGAGGGCCATCCCATCCCAGCCTGACGCCGTCAAGGACATGTCACGGAAGTCCAATTCCCAGCGGACCTTCCGCTCCCCCAAGCGCCGGACCTTCCGCTTTCTGCAGGCGTCCCTCTTATTCCACTGAGTCAGCGGAACTCCCAGGGGCCTCCGCAAGTTGCGCCTGCTGCAGCCAGCACGATAGCGCCAGCGGCGCTTCTGTTCCGCTCCCCCCCCTCCCCCCGCCCCGCCATCCGCGGGAGTTCATCTTCGAGGCGTGGATGCGCCACGTCGGGCCGTCTCTGCACTCCCTCACTCTCTCCCGCGCACTTCCCGCCGTTACTTCCCTAAAGCGCCCTCGAGACGGTTGCGCCAGCGGCGCCTGCGGCGGCAACAGCGTGGTGGTGAACCTGTGGGAGGAGGAGGACGCGAGTCTGCATCTCGCGCACATTTCCCGCCACTGCACCAACCTGAGCTCGCTCTCATTGGGCCACGTGTCCCTCTCCGCGCCGACCCTTCTCGCCACTCTCCAGCCCATGCCGGCGCTGCAGCACCTCTCACTCTCGTGGCTGCACGCGTCCCCCGCCGCGCTTCACGCCGTGCTTGACGTCGTGCCGAATCTTCGCCACCTCACGATTTTCATCGCGTCGGGATTCCCTTGCCTAGAACTGCGCCTTCCGCCGTCCCTCCAGCACCTCACGCTCTCCTACATCCGCGCAGACTCCGTCGCGCTTCTCTCCGCGCGCTCCCTCCAATCCCTCTCTCTCCGCGACATGTTTCTCCGCGCGCTCTCCATCCGCGATGCGCCCAACCTGCGCCAACTCTCCGTCGCTTCCGCTAACTGCCTGCTCGTCTCCGCGCCTCACTCCGACCAACTCGCGTCAATCGACCTCCGCGCGGGGTCGCTCAACTGGCCCGCCACCGAAACCCTAATTTCAACCAGTGCGGCTGCGCTCGAGTCGCTCTCCCTCGATTTCTTTACCAGCAGCAGCTCGGGCCTGTCCTCGGTTTCGTCGTTGCCCTGGCTTGCACAGAACTGCGTGAGGTTGAGGAGTTTGCGATTGGGTGCTCTGGCGTGGCAGAATATTGTTGAGTCGGCTGCGATGTCGGGTCTTTTACAGTCTCCGGGAGATGATGGCTGTTTGTGGCCTCAGCTCGAAGCGCTTACAGTGAGAATTGCGGAAAAGACACCCGAAGCCCTGCTTCTGCTTCATTCCATTCTCTGTAACATCCACACACTGACAGCCCTGCATGTGACTGTAGAGGGGGAGGAGGAAGATGAGGAGGAGGAGGAGGAGGAAGAGGAAGCGGACCTGGATGAAACGGAGTATGATGGAAATTGTGATGCTACTGGCATCAATGAGGAGGAAGACGAGGAGGTATACCACCCTCACAGGGAGACTAATTACTACTCACACTCTTCCGCTCGACTTTCTGTCGCACGTGCCTTTTCTGGTCTAGCTGAGCCTAACACTGCACTGCCTAGATTCGCTCAGCCTGTTGGTTACTGCTTTGGACTGACCACAGCAGAGAGACAGCATCAGCTGTTTTTGAAGGGCCTGGATTGTCTACAGAGGCGGTTTGGATGCTTCTATGTAACCTCCCCTTTGCTTCACAGAAGGAATACTTATTGAAGCTGAGAATAGCTGGTGGTAGGCAGTTGGCCACCCTTCCGTAAAATTAATGTTTTTACGGTGTGCCCAGGGCCTAGAACCTGATGTACGCTTGAGTATACATCAACATACAAAAGGAAAACGAGCAGTCAGGTTGAGCAGCAGGATACGCTGTGGTGATGGCCTTTCACTAGTGTTCCAAGCATATCTACATGATTGTGTTATCCAATTGTTCTTCTAAGTACTTTTATCATATTCATCTGCCTGTGCACCCTGTACTCGTATTGGTGGAATTCACTTAGCGTGTCTGCTCACGCAAACGCGTCTTCCCTCGCCCTGCTGTGCGGCTCTCACCCCGCCGCGTGGGCGGAGAAGTTCAGCAAATTATTTGTGAAACTGCAGAACCCAACAGAACACAGAAAAACGCAAAGAACCACTTCATACCACGAAGTTTTCAGCAGTGCCACTACTATTTGGTCGCCCAGCCATTATCAAGCCATTCATTCTCAGCAGCCAACCAGTGGCAAGCCTGAATGTACGGCTGACTTCTCCCTTACTCGTATTAGTGTCGTGCTAGAAATTTGAAGTCTGTGAAGCAGTTACGTCATTGTAAAGTTCGGCGTCCCTTAGACAGTCCGTACCCGTCATCTTGGTCAATCCTAATCAATTCGAGCTTATTTGAAACTAGAACAGAGCGTTAGGACCCTTCGACGTCTTGCTAGCTGACGCGAGTCTTAGACCATCGTGATTTCTGATCATCGTCTTGCTTGATAACAAAACTATCAATTTCCAAACCTAGATAGTAAACCTTTTTTCCGCTATGTCCGGCGAGCGAAGCGCAGACGCAGGGGAAGCCGTTCTCCTCCTCGCGCTGCCGCACGTGCGGCTCTTTAACGACCTCATCGCCTTACAGCGCGTATCGCGCTCCCTCTATCGCACCATTCGCGACTCGCCCTGTTTCTGGCTGCGATTCCACCATCTCCACGTGGAGCCCTTCCCAATCATCCACCACCACGTGTCCGCCGCCCTCAGCGAAACAGCGGCTCCAAGAACTCGCAGCGAAATTCGACCAATTCGAACGCGCGGTGCTGATTCTGAGCCACTCGCAGCGCTGCCTCGTTATAAGCTAGTGGAGGCGGCTCTTAAGGTGTACGCGCGGCGGTCCCAGGGGCAGCTTAGGGAGGTGATACTAGACGGGGAGGACGTGCGCGGCGATGTGATTATAACGGTGCTTGCAGGCTGCAAGCAGCTCGAAAAGGTACATGCTTCTTGCTTCTCTCTAGACATATTACTTTTTTTAAAATTTGTGATGGAATTATTTGCATTGTTCTGAATTGCTGATCGACAGCAACCAACCCCCCTCTTTCCTTCAACCCTTTTCCTCTTCCCATTCCCTTTCCCCCCACTCCCCCGGCACCCCTCACGTTTTCCCCGTGCACTCTGCCCGTTCTGCGCAGCTTTCAGTGAGGATGTGCGCGCATGTAAGCTCGTCCCACATAGTCACACTCCTACAGTCACAGTGGGGCGCGCTAGCAGCCTCAACAGCACCAGCAAACTCATCAGAGATATCACCATTACCATCACGGGCAGCAGCACAATTGGTACCACGGCCACCGCCAGCAGCACCATCGGCGTCGTCACCCTTGCTTGCAGATTCCTTACCAGAGTCACCTCCGCCCATTCCACCCACTTCTCTTGAATCTACACAACCTGATACCCTTGAGTCACCTTACCGTGGTACCTTTGAACCACCTCAGGTCTCCACAGCTGCAGCACCGGCTCCCAGTCCCAGGCTGTGGCAGGTACGCATGGCAGGGACCGACTGCCCCTCTACAGACTTCCTCTTTATCCGTGACATGCTCAAGCGTGCAGCTGCAAGCCTCCCTGCACACAGACGTCCGGTCTCCGAACCTAGTTCCGCAGCAGCAGTTAGCTTCGGGAGCAGCACCCGGATTAGCACCGGCAGCACGGCGCTCATCAGCATCGGCAGTGTCCTCCCCATCAGCACCTGTTTACAAATCCTCACGGATCCCGTGCTTTTTAAGGCTGGCACGGCTATAAGGTCAGGGGATTCAGGAAGTTCTGGTAATTTTGGATGTGACTATAATGAAGGGCTGTCTTTTGCGCCTCTGGAAGGAGCGTTCGTAAGGAGCTCAGCATCGGAGGGGCTGGTTCAGGAAGGGGAAGCCAGAAGCTCGGGCGCGTTTCCGGGCAGGAGGCTGCAGATTGTTTCGACCTGTCCGTCGGTTTTGGACATTGATTTCTGCCCGCGGTGTGCCAACGTCCGGGCAGTTTTAGACTGCCCGACTAGCGTGCAGTGGCGGCAGCACTTGGAGCGAGTAGCTGAGGATTCAAGCTCCATCAAAGTGCAAGCAACTGTTCGGTCTCTCCTTAAGCAGCAGGTACTGCAATGGCTGTTGTCTTACCATCTTGTTGTGTGTCTGTCTTGTTGCCTTACTCACCTGTTGCCGTACTCGTTGTCTTACTCACTTGTTCTCTCACTCACTTGTCTGACTCACTTGTTGGCTTACTGACCTGTTATCTTTCTATCTTAATTTCTTATTATTTATCTTTCTCTCTTGTTCTCTCTCACTTGTCTCACTCACTCGTTTGACTTGCTCATCTGTCTTTCTCACTGCATCCTCGTTGCATTATGAAAACCCTGCACAAAGCACGCGTGCACGCATGCCCCTGGGTCGAATCCAAGCAGCACTGCACCTAGCAGCACAGCACGGGTCCTGAAAATGAACTTCAATTCGCCGCATATTTTAGTGGACTCTCAATGTCCTCTTCTCTTCCCTGGCCCCCCCATTATGTCCCCAGGCCTGTCGTGGCTGCCTGCGCTGCATCCCTCGCTGCATCTTCTGCGGCTCGTGCACCAAGCACACGTGCATGCCCCTCGGCCAGATCCAATCAGCTCTGCACCAAGCAGCGCAGCAGGGGTCTCGTAGAGGGTCAGATTCAGACGGCCAAGATTTGGAATCTAGTGGCAGCATGGGTGGACGGTTGGAGGACCCTGCGTTGCGTGATTTGCCTCTTACTCCTGTTGTTGGTCCTGTCTTTTCTGAGGATGGGGCGGTCAATGTTGGTGAGAGGGAGGTGGTGGATTTGGCGTCGATGGGATGGGTGATGTGTGGGTGTACGCTTTGTTGCAAGGAGCAGTGCACGTCGCGCATGCTGACGTGTGTGGGGTGCAACTGGCGGTGCTGTCCTTGGCACATTGAGAAGTATGCTGAGATCGCGGTGTCCAATGCTAGCTTCGTTTGTGAGATTTGCTCCCACCAGGATAGAGACCCGGTTTATGATTTGTAAGGGGCTCAATTGATTTGTGGCTAGCTTAGTTTGTGTGCTTTGCTCTCTTCAAGTTGCTCTGTATTTGCTTCTTATGTACCGTATATCATGTTCCCTACTAACGGGTCATTATGTTCGCCTGCGTTTGTCGATGTGCTGCTGCGCGCCTTGTCCACACCTAGAGACGAGAGGAATGGCTCGAATCGTCTCACACAGCAGTTGCTTTGCCTCCCAAGCTGGTCTCGATTGACCCGAATCACCCCCCTCATCGGCCTCCTTCGTATGCGACGCGCTTCGGAAAGTCTCTTCCTGGAGTCCTATGGTCTTTCACGATGCTAGAGAAGTCTCCATCTTCATCGAGTGGAGCAGCCTCGCTGACTCGTCGTCTCGCTTTTTGTTGCCCTCTGAATCGCAGCTATGTTTGAAAAGCTCCTCGTCGATTTAGCGGCTAGGCTTGGTGTAAGGCGACCAGTAAATGTATCTCAGTCTAAGCTTGGGTTTCCCGAGTGTCCGGTGTGGGAACACGAGATCGAGTTTTGCGGCAAACTATATAGTGGCATGGTCGAATCGCTGCAGAGACTGTTAGCATTTGGTGATTTTCGTCCGCCTAATCCGTATAAATACCATCTGACTACTGGTATGGCTACGTTGAAGCAGAGCCGTGCGCGAGAGCTCGCGTACCGAGCCGCGTTTCGCAACGCGATGACAGGAAAGGTCTCCTGCTGTGAGGACAAGTCCTCAGCAGACGCGACGATTGTTGCGAAAGTAGCTGAAGAACTCGCGAGGCCTATCGCCAAGGGAATTCTTCAGGTTGATTGCCAGCGTATGTTACTGAGCACCCCGAAATATCAGACCGACGAAACTCCTGCGGGTCTTCTCTCAACCAGGGTTCAACTGTCACCAGATCTGACTCTGCAGCCGCGATCATACTCTGGATGCTCCAAGACAGAAGCTGACAGGGATGCAGCTTTCCAAGCATGGCTTGAGATCTTCATCACTGAAAGTCATGTTGAGGGAGGCGATGAAGGTCGCAATGTGGGGGAAGAACAAACAATGGATTGGTTCGATTTCTGGAGAGCTGTCAGGATCCGTAGAATGGAAAACTAGGGAGGGGAGATCTGCTGATTACGGTATGCCTTCATCAAGGGAAGGCTCATGTTAAGTGGACAATGAGCCACTTTGTAACGATGGATTGAACCTTTCCACATTTTACAGGGGGGTTAAGTTAACGAAGCTAAATGGAAAAAAAAGTATGCCACTCGAATAAGGCCTAAATGTAAACACACTAATGTTAGATGGTCATGCAACCTGCTCAAGTCTCAGACAGTCTCCCGCCTGTACAGCATGGGGGAGGCTACATGGAAGCAACCAAACCGCCTTTGGAGGCAGTCCAGGCCCTTCAAAAACAGCTGGTGCTGTCGCTCTGCTGCAGTCAGCGCAGGCCAGTAACCCACAGACTGAGTGGATACGGCCAGTGCAGCATCAGCCACCTCTGAAATGCCAGGTGAAGCAGAAGCTTCAGAAAAAGTATGTGACAAGTCACTTGCCTCCTCAGCAATGTAGTTTCCCCCATCTTCATCATCCTCATCCATGCTCATCGCGTCGCAATCTCCATCATGCTCCATCTCCTCCGCCTCCTCTTCCTCGTCGTCCTCTCCCTCTACAGTCACGTGAAGACCCATCAGTGTGGGGATGGTAGAAAGAATCGAATGAAGCAGAAGCAAGCCTTCGGGCGCCTTATCCGCAATTCTCACTGTAAGCGCTTCTAGCCGAGGCCACAAATAGTCATTATTGAGTGTACCATTTGAACCAGTTCTCCCCGGTGACAGTAGAAGACCCGACATCGCAGCCGAGTCAACCATATTCTGCCACGCCAGCGCACCCAATCTCAAACTTTTCAACATTGGGCAGTTCCGCGCGAGCCAGGGCAGCGACGAAACCGAGGGCAGGCCAGATGCGTTGGTGGTGGCAAAAAAGTCGAGGGAGAGCGACTCAAGCGCAGCCCCATTGTTTGAGATTAGGGTTTCGATGGCGGGCCAGTTGAGTGAGCCCGCGCGGAGGTCGATCGACGCGAGCCGGCTGGAGTGAGGCGCGGAGACGAGCAGGCAGTTGGCGGAAGCGACGGAGAGTTGGCGCAGGTTGGGCGCGTCGCGGATGGAGAGCGAGCGAAGGAACATGTCTCGGACAGAGACGGATTGGAGGGAACGCGCGGAGAGAAGCGAAATGGAGTCCGCGCGAATGTATGAGAGCGAGATGTGCTGGAGGGACGGAGGAAGGCGCAGATGCAGGCGTGGAAATCCCGACGCCATGAAAATCGTGAGGTGACGGAGATTCGGCGCGGCGTCAAGCACGGCGTGAAGCGCGGCGGGGCACGCGTGCAGCCACGAGAGCGAGAGATGCTGCAGGGCCGGCATGGGCTGAAGAGCGGCGAGCAGGGTCGGCGCGGAGAGGGACACGTGACCCAATGAGAGCGAGCGCAGGCTGGTGCAGTGGCGGGAAATGTGCGCGAGATGCAGACTCGCGTCCTCCTCCTCCCACAGGTTCACCACCGCACTCCCGTCGCCCCCGCAATTAGTGGACGAAGCAACGGGAACAGCGCGCGAGAGGGTGAGCGAGCGCAGCGACGGCCCCACGTGGCGCATCCACGCCTCGAAGATGAATTCCCGCGGATGGCTCGCCGCCGCGGGATCCCCTTCCTGCGCCGCCGCTCCGTGCGCGCCATGCGCCGTCTCCTCGAAGCAGCGGCAGGCTGGCGGGATGGCGGAGGCGGAAACGCCGCATGCCGCGCAAGCGCGCGGCGCAGGGGAAGACGCTGGAAGCGGCGTCACGATTTTTAGTTGGCGGAGGGATTCCGAGCGAAGCACCATCCGAGAAATGGACTCCTCGAAGCGCGTGGATGATTGTTGCGAGTCTGTCTGACCACCGAAGCTCAGGCTCGGAACTTGTCTCGCCAAAGCTCTCCAGCGGCGACACGTCATTGATGCGACGCTGACATCAGCAGCGGACCCTCCGAGTCGCGAAAAAATCTCGAGGAGAAGGTCGTCTGGGAGGACGGAAAACCAGTCGCCGTTAGCAAGCCGCGAAGAGCTTGACGCGGCGCATTCGTGGTTCGTGGCGCATGACGCCGCTGTGTCTGGCTCGCGGTTCGCCGAAGCAGTTAGGGTTTGAGCCACATCCAGCATGCAGGGAGACGACGGCGCGACGCTTTGCGCTTCCGCGGGGACGATTAGCGCGTCGTGGCTCTTGGAGTGTCCATGATGAAACGGCGCGAAGGCCATCTCGCCTCGCTTTATCTGCTCCTTTGCTTCGCGCTTCGCGTTTGGTGATAACAGTGAGGACGTTGCTAGCCGCTTCGGACTTAGCTGCTGTTCGTTTGAGTGGGCTTTGAGCGACCCAAGGCTGAGGGTGTCAGACTGGAATAAATTCTTACTATGGCGAGTGGCCATGGTATGCAGTACTTGTGCTGAGAGGGTTGTTTCTGGCTGATGATGCCAAATGTCACGTGACTAGGCCCAACTCGCTTCGCTGAGAATTGCGATAAGGTTTGGGAAGGTCGAGAACGTTGGCAAATAAGGACGTTGGGTTGAGGCTTTCTAGCGGTTGCTGAGGTGGGAAGTGCGGGCGGCTAAGGGACAAATTAGTGTCTGATTGAAGAGAACGAAGACTTCGTCAGATTGGCTGGTTGAGAATGCAGCGGCATTGATGGTACTTTATTTGCAAGTAAATTAGCTAACCTAGCCCCATAGCGCGGCTCCAAGTGGCCTTGCTGATGGGTTCCTGACAGACTCTGGTTGGCTGATTTGCGAACTGTGGGAGCGAATGCGATGAGGCCTGGTGGACGAGCTTCGCGCATGTTTTCGCTCGCATCTGTTTTCGTTAGTCGTATTGTGTATGTCGTCGTAATCCTTGCATTGTGGGAAACATTCCATCGTTAAGCTTGTCGCTTGTTCGCACATACATATGTTACCAGTAAACCACAATTTACCCACACTTGAAGGAATCCGATTCGAGGCTGACTGAAGCATTTGATTCGCGGAATCTCTTTAGGACTCCCCAGGTCAGTGGCACTTTGGCGAAACGGTGATGTACTGGCAGAAACCGCATGCAAACTGTCACCTAACGTCAGTGAGGGCTTTCCAGACCAGAATGTACAAAATATAATGCTGCCGAGAATGTCTCATGGTTTCAAGTTCAGCCCCTACCCCAAAAAGAGGGGTTTTTATACGGGCCGTCACAAAACATTTCGGAGTTATCACGAGCAGTCACATGTTCCGCCAAATCTATCACGGACAGTCACAAAATCTGCCAAATCTATCACGAACCATCACACGGGTATCACCCGCCGTCACTCAAAGGCACTAATTTCTATCACGGGTAGTCACACTCGAAACTTTGCTATCACAGATGAACCCTCTCATCATTTCGTTGACCCGCCCTGAAACACTATACAGATTTAGGGACTGAATTTCGGATTGCTGGCTTTTGTCTTGTATACGCGACCATTTTGGATGCAAAGATAAATGGTTACGTTCGAATTGATGTAACACACTTTTGTCTCAAAAAAATTTATGAAAGAATTGAAACGCATATATATATTGCTAGAGTTCACAATTTCAACACATCGGCAATGCTTGACTAGATGTAAAATTTGCAGTACATAGCATGGCTTGTGTAACATGGTTTCCTAAACCCTTGTGATACAATGCCTCTGTGTTTAAATTCTGAGGAGATAGGTTGACATGAGATTATTATATGTCTATAGTATTTACTTGAAGGCTAGTGTTACAGTATTATGGTGAGATCATTCTCATTCTGTATACTATATCCGCTGTATGACGAAATATAAATTGTGCGTTGATAATCATTTAGGCAGATCCAATGAATTGTGAACTCTAGCAATATATGTATATATATATATATATATATATATATATATATATATATATATATATATATATATATATATATATATATATATATATATTTGCGTTCGAATTATTTCATAAAATTTTTAAACAAAAGTGTGTTACGTCGATTCGAACGTAACCAGGTATCTTTGCACCCAAAATGGTCACGTATACAGGACAAAAGTCAGCAATCCGAAATTTAGTCCCTAAATCTGTATAGTGTTTCAGGGCGGGTCAACGAAATGATGAGAGGGTTCATCTGTGATAGCAAAGCTTCGAGTGTGACTACCCATGATAGAAATTAGTGCCTTTGAGTGACGGCGGGTGATACCCGTGTGATGGTTCGTGATAGATTTGGCAGATTTTGTGACTGTCCGTGATAGATTTGGCGGAACATGTGACTGCTCGTGATAACTCCGAAATGTTTTGTGACGGCTCATATAAAAACCCAAAAAAGAGTGTTGAAATTCATACACCGACATTCTCTTTACATGCAGGCACGGTCAGTGAGGCTGTTTCAGGACATCGTGACGCTACACCTAGCCCGCAGTAAATTCACCGCGTGAAAGTGGGTAGCAGGATTTTGGATTATCTGGCCGTGGTGAAGATAAACGCTCAAAATTTGGGTCGCTATTTTCACCACCAAATATTTGGAAATTTGTGACAGTACCCCACAAAGGAAACACTTTGCTCTTTATCGCATCCAGTTTCAGGTAAGAGGGAGCATCGACGGTGGCGATTCGCTGCCTAAATCCTAATAGACAAGTCGTGATTTGTGTCTCGCCAGTGCGCATATCCCCTTCACGGTGCCAGCTGAAATATCAAAGAAAGGGCCCGTGATTTCTCCCACTTGGTTCGGTCAACTGTGTACAGTGATTCCAGGCCGCCCATCAGGTTCCGCCCAGCAAGCCGACAAACGTGGTGAAGATACCGCCGGTGAATTTATCGCGGACCAGGTGTATGAGGTGCGATCGTGTGACCCACACTGCTGTGGGTGGGATGGGGTGGGGGGATTGGTTTGGGGGGTTCATCACGCAACTTCCTTCCTACCTTCCCAAATGACCTTGTGGGATGGAAACCCCTTGGTACGGGCGGCGACCAAGGATCTCGGCACGTGCAAAAATCAAAAGTTGCTGTCGCGCTGTTGACTGAGGAGAGGAGAGGAGAGGAATTCACTGGTCACGACGTTTCGATGAAACGGGGGAACCATTCAACAAATGACAGCCAGCCTGCCCAGCCCATCAACGAAAGTGACTTGCATGACATGACGAACATCAAGCATGGTGCCATATGTCGCCATGCAGCGCCGCCATAGTTTGAGGGAACTCCGCCACATTCTCCCAGTACAATTTCGACCTCCCCTGCCGTTCAATTTCGACCCGCCCTTCCCAGTCTCCCACCAAATCCCATCCCCCCACGCAGCTTTCCCCAACTATCGAAACGCTACGACGTCGGTCACATCCCTGTGCATCTCAAATTGACAGCAATCCGACTGAATTGGGAGAGTATTCTAGCCCTTCACTAAGCCTGCAATAACTAAGTTCCACCTTTCCCAGGTCATTTCGTTCGCCAGCTGGGCTAGTCCGAGACACTGGGTGTATGGAAAAACCGATCTGGTGGTACACTTCAATGTTCTCTCAGTTTTTCAAATTGACGCATCACAATCAAATCACGCAGAAAAGAACGCTGTAATTCGCGTGGCAGGATTCTATTTACATCATCCCACTGGCCTGGTTGTTGTTGCTCAGAAAACCTACCGATATGGTCACTCTCGAAACACGTTTACATAGCGAAAAACAAACACTTTCCAGAGCAAAAAACTGGTTCATATGCGTTCGGTGTTGGTTCAATTAGTGCATGCCTTTTGTGATAACTTTCCCTGTGTCTGGACCAGGGCGTAAAATCAACGATTTTTGGGTTGCATAGCAACCCTATATATTTGGTTTGACTTTTTGGGGATATCATTTAAGAAGTGATTTTTCTACGCACTTTTTTGGAGCACACGTTAGAATGTTTGGAACAGTGTTCAAACGGATGCCTCAAATAGTGAATAAAAACACTCTCAAATAAGATCCCCATATGTGAAACAAAATACCGTACGTATCATGTTGAAACAATGAATTTGCTCGACCGTCCCAGCATCGTCGATAAATGCGGCGGATGGTACGGCCGAGCATAATATTCTGGTATCAACATGCACGAATGCAGTTGTACAAATGAACAAGAAGGTATGAGGTGGAGTGATTGCTTCAAAATGAATGTTAAGATGCACCATATAGCAATAGAGGTTGATGGGGTCGTTGAAACAGCGAAAACACGCTGCCCCAAAGACGATTAACAACCTCTAATTGCATACATTCATGACACATAGTAACACCTGCTACGATCAGAGAATGATCGCTTACCAGGATCTACTCGGGAAGGTTCGCACACAGGGAAATGTAGTTGGTGGGCCCGTGACCTCAATAGCAGAGTGAATGTAAAATGCTTGAGATGATTAAAACATGCAAATACAGCAAGTATAAATATGAGTACAGGGAAGACGAAACGACCTAGCTAGCCATGTACTCTAAGGGGTACATTCCCTTATTCAAACGCATTCTCAACCGTGCGGCGCGTACAGTTTCGTAACTGTTCCCGCCAAAAACATCCTGCCTGCAGCTGTCCGATGCCGTCTGCTTCCGACGGTCCAGATGCGCCCCAACTGTCTGACACTTGAGTCAAACTCCAACCGTCTGACGGTTCGCTTTCTTGCTTCGATACTGCGTGCTTCTCTTTGCTGCGGTGAGGAGTGCTCAGTAACAATTAAATGTTACTATTCGTAACACCCCCTTTCACTTCTGGCCGTAGCTCGATTTGATCTGCTTGACCACACCGCTGAGTTCGGAGCAGTGCTGATACTGCTGGCGTGGCAGTCGCTTCGTGAGGAAGTCCGCTGCCATGTCACCGGTCGGGCAATA